AAGTTACCGCTGGTCACCGTTGATTCGCAGGCGGAATCAACACTCCCCAAGCCGTAAATTTACGTGGAGATTGTGCCAGCAGACCGATCATCCACTCTGTCTGTCCGCTCGTCGCAGTATACCATGATCGAAGAAAGGATTCAGCTTTCGAAGCGGACTGGCGGACGAGATTAAAGTACGCTTGTCTCCGTCGGGTTTTCTGCTCAGTAAGCGAAGCTCGTCTGGGAACGCGGCCTGCTGTACTAACTTTGAAACGTAACTTGACGACATCATTATCTCTTGATGAGTCAGATGACGAACAGGGTCCGTCGTGGACCTGGATTGTTTTCCAAATAGATTGCAAAACCGGCTGAGCCACGTAATGGCCCTCAAGAGCTTCATCCAACTGCCATAGTGACTAAACTTATCCAACCAAGATACGGTCGACTGTACGTAAGCAACTGTGCAATTCTGGATTTTCTTCATCATTTCTGGAGGAAGCTCAGACTGTAGAATTGGTTCTGCTGGCCATGACGACTCTTCTTCTAGGAAGAAAGGCGGTCCTCGGATCCATGAGCTGCGCCCTAAATCTGTTGGAGACACACCTCGCGATATCTGCTGGGTTGTTTTTACCATCAACATACTTCCACTGGCGCACATCTGTGAGTTCGTGTATGGCTGCCTTGCGGTTCGCGACAAAACTCTGGAAACGCGTAGTTGTGTTGCGGAGTGTTTAACGATCGATCATCGAGTCCGTCCAGAACGTAGTAGCCGTGATCGGTAGAGAAAACTGTTCTCTCACTTGCGTCGCCATTCTCGCAGTAGGGCAGCTCCAGAACGTAGTAGCCGTGATCGGTAGAGAAAACTGTTCTCTCACTTGCGTCGCCATTCTCGCAGACAGTAGGGCAGCTGTAAGCTCCAGACTAGGAATCGTGACGGCCTTCAGAGGGGCGATACGAGACTTGGTTATTGTTACGATCTGTGAAGTGACGTGTTGATGCACGAGAATCTGTTAGAGGTTTGAATTTGTTGCTCGTCTGCATCCTTGAGTTATTTCTTTTGAAAAAAATTAACATGACTGCTTCCTCAGTCTTCGTTAGATGCTTCACATCTTCATACTGCTCACATACTTTCCGAATAGTTTAAAATTTCTGGTTTGAACAGAGTAGCAGCTTTTTTTGTAATTCGGGCAGCTGAATTCCAGCGATGGGTCTATCACGCAGCTGGACTTCCAATTGGACACCGTAGTCACATTTGGATGCCTGTGTCTGCAGCTGCAATACGAAATCACGAACCGACTGAGAATGGGAGCTGGGCAACATACTGAATGTAGCTCTTTCGGCTGCTACGAAGTTAATCGGTTTGAAGTGTTGAAGATCTTTTTTCTTCAATGCAGTGTAGGGAATATTGATTGGAGATTCAGGATATACTAAATTTTTTATCAACTTATGCACCTCCTTGCCAACGAAATGTAGGAAATATGCAGTGAGTTGCTTATCATTAATATCGGATTTTGTGAGGCACCATATGTCGAACCGTTCCAAATAAT